GTTTTTTAAAAGTAGGACCTGCACCATTTTACTAGCCTTGGGGGTATGGAAGCGAGAAAGATACAGTCACCCTTTGTTATGGAGGGACTGAGAAAAAACTCTTTGCCGGTATCCCGCCATGGAACGCGTCAAGGTTGTTAAAAATCGATGTGTACCGCCATGTCGGTCTCCTTACCCGGCACGTACTACTAGCCAGCCTCATTCTTACTGAGAAACAGAGAGGGAGTAGCCCCTGTATGTCCAACTGATCCGCACGACACTCGAAACGTTTGGTTTGCCTACCGGTCCAGGGGTTGTATAACGGGACCCCCAAAGAGTTGGAGAACCTCGTATACGGCAGGTTCAGGCGTTGTCATGGAAATGGACAGATCGAGGCTTTACCGAGAGATCCGATTCATTCATTACGAGTTATCCGTTCTCGTTATGATATCAGTGGGCGTGTTTTGTTTCCCCCGTGATTTTTATGTAATTATAATTACCTCGTTTAAGAGTCCTGTAATGTTATTTTAACATATAGCTTTATATTTTAATGTAAATTCTGTCTACAGGGAAAGGTTTGTTTGTATAACATCATTACCATGTTAATATTTAATTTTACGATTCAGCTTTAGAGCGATAATTAATCGATTCATAAGCAAGTTAGAAAGCATCATAAATTATCTTTATAAATCTACAGCAGAAATTTTTATTTGTGATAATATTAATATTAATTATCTTGCTGTGCATTACCACGGTGTCTAAAGACCATGCTGATGTCTTTAAATCTCGTGTTAATAGTTAATTTCCCCACAAGAATTCAAAATTACTTCAGTACTGCTATTGGACAATGTTTTTGTGGACAGTTATAGGAAATAACATATTAAGTTATCTTTAATTTTTTCGCAGTATTGTGTTGTATTTCAGTCATGAACAGGTCAGATTATTTCTGATCTGGCCTACGGATAAATTTTTACGAATTACAGACTTGCAATATGGACAGTTAAAAAGATGATCATATTCAGATTAGTGACGGAGAAATAGTTCCAGGCTTATTTTTGGCATTTGTAATCCAGATATTGACTGGGTGGATTGTACGAAGGTTTGCGATTGTGTTTTTACCCTTTGCTGGAAAATTATTTATTTAGAATTTTTTCCGAGAAAATTTGAATCTTATAATCGTACTGCCTAGGATTTTTTTTTTTTTTCAGATTAGAATTGCTCGCCTCTGTTGTAAATGAAAATGTTAGAAAAACAGACTAAAGAAAATATTTGAAAACACGTAAGAATTGTATGTATCAGTGATAAGGATTAATAAATACCAGGAAAACTGAGAGTGTGTTCGTATCTCGTGATCGGAATTCGTGACATTGGAATATATAGATATATAATAAATACTTTGAAAATGTGCCGAGGTTCAAGTGTTTGGGAATGATAGTATGAAATTAGAATTATGTTTATGAAGACATAAAGAACAGATAAAATTTGAGGGATCCTTGCTGCTTTGATAACATAATCTCGTATAATTTATATCTTAATTGCGTCATGTTTGTGTTTTATTGATACAATATTTTTATTTTCCGTCTATACACAAACTTAAAATAATGTTGTTTAAAATTACTTAAAATTATAACATTCTCAGTAGATACTGCATCTTGTTACATTTTTTGTATTCGACGACATGTTTCGACAAAAACTTAAAATTAAACAAATTAAAATAATCAATATACGCAACGCAAGATGTACAACAGTTTTTAAAATATATTAAAATTGATAGACCTGATAATGATGTGATACACATTGAAACATGTCGTCGATACAAAAAATGTAACAAGATGCAGTGTCTACTGAGAATGTTATAATTTTTAAGTAATTTTAAACAACATTATTTTAAGTTTGTGTATAGACGGAAAATAAAATATTGTATAATCTCGTATGTTCACGTCTTCAATTTAAAAAAATGTAAAGATAAAGTAGCAATATTTTTAATTTGTTTCCAGTGGAAGAACATAGGTTGAGAATATTTGAGAATTAAACGCTGAAATGAATGTTTGGACCTGAAAAAGGTGACTGAGAACATGACATAATGAGGAGAACCATAATTTTTATTTTTCAGCAGATATTTGGGTGATTAAATCGCAGAGGTTAAGATGGCCAGGGCATATATCATGCATGACAGATATAAGTCAGCCGTTGAGGAAGACTGAAGGCGTGGGCTAAATTAATTTGATTTAGGATAAGGTCTTATTTCAATCCAGTTCTTCATTAAAATGTGCTGCATTAACAGCCAGAAGGCCAATTACAGGCAAACACTGATAATACATACAATAATAGTGAAATAATAATGAAAAATATTACAAAAAGAGATTAATTAAACTTATCCATGTACAGTTTTAAATATAACAGCCAATTACAGGGAATCACAAAAAAAGAAACAAATTTATACACAAAGAAATATAAATAAAAACAAATAATCCGCCTAGGGAACACTAATATAATTTTAGAACACGATAATAAATATAGGAAGGCACAACAAAAAGATTATCAATATTATCAATATATTAATACACAGGAAAATTGATACTGTATGCATCAATATCTTTGGAACAATAATTCGGATAGATTAAGTCATGTAGATTAAAATGAGAAGAAAATATTCAAAACAGACGCGGTACTAAGACAGAATTTATATAATTAGAATGGTAACTCACAGTTCGTCAGTGTAGAGTAGGAGAGAAAGGGGAAAAATATTAAATTTATACTTAATGTAATTAATCTGTGTAATGAATCTAGGTCTTATAAAATTCTTGTGAGTTTCTTGTCCAGCTGAGTAACTACATATGTCTCAGTAACACGTGCGTGGAAGTAGGGAATGGGAAATGCATGTATACTTATTCTGTGTTACACAAGTCACTTTTTGATTTTGTGCAGTTTTTAATAACGACATGGCAGCTACACAAGCTTATGAGGTGGCGGTAACACTAGACTTAAAATTATTTTCTATCTGGACTTCTTCCATTGATGGAAAATGTCCAGATAGAAAATAATTTTAAGTGAAACACTCCATCGTCAGAACCCTTTAGAATTGGGTAACATTCCTCTTCTTCTTCTGTGGCTCTCCGGTCTGTTTTCGGTCCACGGCCTCCACAATTCTCCTCTTGGAGTTGTGAAATTATCTGTAATGTAGGTGATTCTTTTGTAGAATGTAGTTGAATGAAACGTAGATATACCTTTCAGTTTGATGGTGATAATTTTTGAACCCTGCGGAGCCGGAGACTTGAAATACGGTTGTGTGTAAGTTACCAATATCAGATACGCTGACAGTAGGATGGGTTACAGCCAGAAGTCCTTATCTAAGTGTTTAATAGGATTTAGATATCCAAATTAACGAGTGCTTTTGTTTTTGGTTTTATTTCACTTTTACTTTAAATTGTATTTTAATTTCTGTGACTGGTCAGTGAGATTATTTAGTATTTAGTACAAGAGAGAAGTGTTATACAACATTCTCATTGAATTTGGTATACGATAGAAGTTGTGAGCATGTAGCGTGCATGGATGGGGCAAGAGGTGTGCACCAGGTATTGGTTGTGAAGCCTGAGGGGAAGAGACCTCTGGGGAGACCTAGACGTAGATGGGAGGATAATCTCAGGCGGGATCTATGGGAGATAGGAGTCGAAGGAGACTGGATTTTGTTGGTCCGGTGGAGGGCTTTGGTTAATTCGGTGATGAACCTTCAGGTTCCGTAAGCCATCTGGTTGGTTGGGTCTACTATTTGGGAAGCCTGAGGGGAAGAGACCTCTGGGGAGACCTAGACGTAGATGGGAGGATAATCTCAGGCGGGATCTATGGGAGATAGGAGTCGAAGGAGACTGGATTTTGTTGGCCCAGGACAGGGTCCGGTGGAGGGCTTTGGTTAATTCGGTGATGAACCTTCAGGTTCCGTAAGCCATCTAGTTAGTTAATTATAATTAGTTTTTGCCAACATTTGTAAGTATTCATTGAAAGTACAATAATTAAGCATTCTGTGTTAGATGTGACAGAATCCAGTTCTTGAAGTTCAATATATTTTATGGGAATTACCATTTTCAGGTTGTGGTGACGGGCTGGGCAAAGCTGATGAAAGTAAGAGCTGCAGTGGAGATGATGACATGAGGGAGAAGTGTGTGCTTCTCCTGAAAGAACTGGTGCCACAGGCTGATGATGTGACCCTGCAGAGGCGGGGTTTTGCGCAGCAGGTGGAAGGTGGTCCATTGTGGTGCAGGCTGCCTTTCAGCAAGGTGTCTGAAGCCTTGAAGTCCTGCAGAAGTAGTGCCAACAGTGCCTTGGCTGACAGCAAACAGTCCATTACTATGCAGTGCACAACATACGACAGCCATCGCTCAACTGCAGATGAATCAGATTTGATCCAAGACCCATCAAATGACTGCCGAGTAAAAGAAACGGGCGCTTCTTCCAGTGTTTTACCAATGTATCCCTCCCCTCCAGATAGCTTTGCTGAAGAATCTACCCCACCACCTGTGTTCCAAGGTCACAAGGCCATGACTGTTGATCCATCACTGCCAAGTACTCCTGATGATAGCTCTGAAGATTTGCTTTTGGGGGAAGCTGCCATCACTCCTTTTACACCCTCTTCTACAAAACTCCCAGGTTCCCCTTCTATCGCACCTGTAACCCCCTCTTCTTCAGACACTGTCCTAGGGCCTTTTAGTATGCCCCTTTGTCCCAAAACACCTTGCTCCAGTTCTTCTGTGGAAGGTAACGAATGTGACCTAGCGAGTCCATTGGTAATGGCTGAAAAGAAGCCGCAGCATCCTTCCACCTCCACAGCATTGCCTGCGCCACAGCGATTTCTGTTCCAAGTGGAGCCCATCCATCAGATGAAATTGTCAGATGGACAAAAACTGTTCGCATGTGACATTTGCTCCGGAGTGTACCAGCGTTGCTTCAGCCTAAAAAGACATTACCTACGATCTCATATCAATCATCGGTACCTCACTGAGCGTGATATCTCCAACTGTGGTATCATCGTTAGTGAACGCCTTACCAAAGAGAGCCCATCTGGTTCATCTGTTGAGAAGAAAAGTGTTGCAGTGGGTATGGACTTAGATACAGTAAAAGGATCTCTCGATAATTCGGTCGTGGATAATGATATTACCAGGACCTGTAGTGGTAACAAATGCTCAATAGGATATCCCATAGCAGAGAGTTATGTGATTTTCCCAAATCTATACCGCTGTCACTTGTGCAACATCTGTTTCGATACTAAGAACGAGCTAAGAGGCCACCTGTCCGCCCACAAGCCTTCTGCGACAGTCAACAAAGAAAAGGCTGCTTCCAAGCCCATAAGTGGGAATCAGCAAGCTCGTAGCAAATCACTTCCTGATCTCAAGAAAGGGAACAAAGAAAGGAACAGATCACTTTCTGCCAGTAGTCAGGAGCTATCATCTTTGCGTGTTCCTACTGTATCTGGCCAGCTAATTTGTGAATCTGTGGCAGTACCGTTGAGACAAATAAAATTCAATCCTGTGTTGTCATCTGTTGCTGTTCCTGGCCAGTTTTCAGTAAGTAATTCACAAATTCATTCATCGAAGCTGGGAACTTCTGGCTTGCCAAAACCGCAAAGTGATCACTCTTCAAAGACTCCAGTGCCTACCCATTCTTCAAAGACTGCAACGTCCAGCCATTCTTCAAAACCTGAACATTCTTCTAAATCTTCAATGCCCGATCATTCTTTGATACCTGTAACATCCAACCATTCTCTTAAAATGGACAATTCCAGTCATTTGTTGTCAGGATACTTATCAAAATCCTCCTCATTTGTACATTCATCGAAGCCATCTTCACCTGGCCGTTCAACACAGCCTTTTTCGTCTAGTCATTCATTAATGCTTAAATCACCTGAACTTATATCTTCTTCTATCACAGACCTGACAATCACTGATCAGTCGCTAAGTCCTCTTATTTCTAGCCAATTTCCTGCATCCCTTGGCCAATTTACAAAGTCTTTGACAAATGATAAATTGTTAAAATCTACTTCATCTTCAGAGCGAGGTCAACATCTGTGCCTGTACTGTGATAAGTCATTCTCCACTCCAACCTTGCATAAGCGTCACGTATCTCGTAGCCATCCTCATGCACAGCTGTCCTTGCAGATCAAGACACCTCACCATGAATGTGCTTATTGCACGAAATCGAGCGGCACTTTCAGAGAGTTGCCTCTGCTTGTTCAGCACCTCCTTGCCACACATCCAGAGCTGTACCATGTTTGTACTACCTGCGAGCTTAGGTTTGACTCTAAAGATGCTTTGTATCATCATCAGATTTCAGTCCATCACAGGGACTGCCAGTGGAACGTCACACAAACAGCCGCTCCCTTCCCCGCATTATCACACACTATGACATCGAGTGTAAACGACGCAGTAAAATTGTCCCAGCCTGCTTCCGAGTCACAGGATGGAAGTAAGGCGAAGACGTCTGGCACAGGGGACGTAGACTTGCTTGTATCAGGTGGAGAATTCCAGTACACTTGCAGTGTTTGTCGCCAAGTTTTCAATGACTACGTCGCAATGTGTCGCCACCATCGACAGGTTCACAAAGGAAAGCGAACCATAAATTCTGCTGTGGGGGGTGTCCAAAGTCCCACTTCTAGGTTCGATAGCAGGAGTCAGAGTCCATTTGTGATACCAGAGAATCGGTCAAAGGAGCAGGTTGAAGGTAATAAGGTTACTGAAAATCACGCCGATGAACAGGAGATGAAGTCGGATATTCCGCGCAAGAGACCCGTAAGTTCTGTCTGTAGAGAATCTGAGAGTGAGGTTCAAACAAACTGTATTATGCCACAATCTAAGAGATACGACATTGAGACGAATGATATTGCATCAGAAACAGTTGACATTCATCATACCGCTGTTCAGAATAAGAACTTGGAACTTATAGAACAGAAAGATTCAGTTGATAATGTTGTGAAAGGCAGATCTGAAGAGGGCGTTGTTTTTGCCGCAGGGGACGAAAGGGCCAGTCCCCCGAGATCTCCGTGTATCCCGGTTCAGTTCACGTTATTTGCCAACAGCGCAGATCAAGTAGATGTAACCGCCAGTAGTGAAAATAAATGTGCTTTGATTGAAACCTTAGATTCTTTGAGTAATATTGACAGTATTTCGTGCATTGGAAACAAAAATGGTTCTCACGTGAACAGCTGTGACTTTACAGTTCAAACTGCAGAATGTGGTGATG